AATTTTCACGCCCCTGTGCATGAAAATTATTCTTTTTCTCGTGCGCACATACTCCACACACGATCTCTCTAAACAGCTATTTTTTTGCAAAACAAAACAAAAAGCGTACCCCTAAACGGGCCACACTTTTCGCAAAAAAAGAACTATTATAATATTTCGCATGATCATGCTCGTGTAGCATGTTATGCTGTGGGGTTGGTGAGGGATAAACTTGTAATGAGGTGACCCTCTGGCAAGTTTGTCTTTCATCATAGTTAAAAATGTTGATGAGCGATACAAGACTTGTAATGAGGTGACCCTCCGGCAAGTCTGTGTATTCATCATACCATAAGACTTTGGTGAGGAATATACTTGTAATGAGGTGACCCTCTGGCAAGTTTATCTATTCACCGGAAAATAAGGTCTTGATGCGGGATGAACTTGTAATGAGGTGACCCTCTGGCAAGTTTATCTATTCATCAATAATAAGATCTCGATGAGGGATCGGCTTGTAATGAGGTGACCCTCTAGCAAATTTATCTATTCATCAAAAATACGATCTTGGGATAACGGTGGTTTAGTTCANGTATTCATCATACCATAAGACTTTGGTGAGGAATATACTTGTAATGAGGTGACCCTCTGGCAAGTTTATCTATTCACCGGAAAATAAGGTCTTGATGCGGGATGAACTTGTAATGAGGTGACCCTCTGGCAAGTTTATCTATTCATCAATAATAAGATCTCGATGAGGGATCGGCTTGTAATGAGGTGACCCTCTAGCAAATTTATCTATTCATCAAAAATACGATCTTGGGATAACGGTGGTTTAGTTCAACTCTCCTCGTGATGAGTGCTTCCCCAAACACTTAAAAAAATAGGTTGTTTCCAATGGATACAACCAACCACCGTGGCTACTGGTCCTGTGCTAAATATAACACAGAATAGTAGTAGTAGAAAATGTCCCAAGTGTCGGAACAGATAGATATGGCAACTGTTAGGAACGACAGAATACATCAATTGTTTAATTTCCGGGCCCTAGTTCGTTTTCGGTTGCTAGTACGGCAGGGTAATTGGGTATCACTCTGTGTCATAGCAGAACGAGATTTGGGTAATGGTACCTCCTTTAGGCGCCTTCGTCGTTTCCTGGTTTTGTTCAACGGCTCAGAGCCATTCTGCCTGACCAATTTTCGACTTGAAGGTTCTTGAGGAGTAGTTGCCTGATTTCGTTTTCATTTCCCTGTTTTACTGGGTGATTTTGGGTCTCCCTGTTCTACTGGGGCACGAGACGAAGATTTATCAGACTGCACGATGTCCAAACCACAACGGAATCGGTAGGCAGTTATCATTTCTTGACATTGTGGAATTTCGTCTGCTCTATATTCAAGGTCTGACTCAGGGCCGTATCCTCGAAGACGCAAACGATACTTGTAGTTGTATGGGTTTTTCGGCCCCCTGCCACTTTTATGGCTTACCACTTTATCAACGACGTAGGATTCAATTTTCGGTTGAATTTCGTCGGGGTGGTCTAGCTCGAGCAACGGAATCTGACGTCCTAAGAAAAACTCGGAAAGTTTATCAAAATCTGGCGCAGGTGGCGTTTTCTTCGTGTGGTATCGTTTAATGTGGGCTAAATGGACCGAAACTTCACGAGTTTCGTTCTGGCGTCTCACTCTATATACCACCGGTGATGATTTAGAGGAGATGACGTAAGGTCCTCTCCGCGGTAACAATAGTTTCGGATTTGGCCCATCCGAATCCTGGTATGGGCGGTACACAAGTACTAGATCACCAGGTTTAAACACAGGGATAGGGCGCAGTGTAGCGTTCTAAGCTTGGCAGCTTGTTTTTGTGTGCGTTCCGATAGGTCACGGCGCGCTAGTTCAAAATCAACCTGTGGATTTTCCTGTGTAGTTTTAGAGAATTCCTCGGTATTTGCTGTTGTTCCCACATGAGGGATGCCGAGGTAGTCGTGGTTTCCGTCCAAACATAAGAAAGAACGGTGTTTCATGCATGGTGGAGCTAAATGACGTGTTGTAAGCCAGTTGAACAAAAGGCAGCAGTGATGCCCAGTTATCGCGGTTCATGGAACTATGCATGGCAAGCATTGCGTGCATGCTAGCATGTACTCGTTCTGAAACAGAATTACCTTGCGGACGGTATGGTGTCGTGCGGGTTCTCTTATAGTTCAGAATACGCTGTAGTTGCTGGACTACACTGTTCTCAAATTCAGGTCCTTGGTCGGAATGCAACATTTCAGGCGACCCAAAGATGCTGATGATGCGGTCGATAATGGCCTGCGCGACAGTGATTGCTGACTTGTTGGGAATCGGAGTCAACACGGTGAATCGGATAAGGTGGTCCATCATGGATAGGACATATTTGCACCGTACCCCGGCGGCTGAAACCGATTCTACTTTGTATTCAACTAGGTGACCCGAAATACGTTCGAACGGTCTTTGTACTGGTAAATGTCTCGTTGTTAATTTGTTTCGATTTTGGGCTGTTTTTCGACGTTGACAGGCTTGGCATTGTTGACACCAAGTACGGGCGTCCCGATTCATGTTGGCCACCAGAATTTCTGGGGGATCTTCTCATAAGTCGGTCTAGACGCTAAGTGGCCTCCAGATAATACGTGGTCGCGATAGGCGTGCAGCACTAGTCCGGTAAGGGCNAGTACGGGCGTCCCGATTCATGTTGGCCACCAGAATTTCTGGGGGATCTTCTCATAAGTCGGTCTAGACGCTAAGTGGCCTCCAGATAATACGTGGTCGCGATAGGCGTGCAGCACTAGTCCGGTAAGGGCGTGAGGCAACACTAATTGTCACTAAACGTACTACGTTTCCGGAGGTAGCCTGGTAAAAAAGATTTAGGGTTAGGGTTAGGGTTAGGGTTAGGGTTAGGGTTAGGGTTAGG